ACTGAGGTGTTTGACGTCCTGCTGTCATAGTTATCATAAACACCCGAAACGTTGGGAATATAAAAATAGGTTAATATACGCGATAAAATCCGTAAAATTAGTTTTATTTAAAAAACTTTTAACGGACTTCAAAAAGGAGGAAGTTCTCAATTAGAGTGTATATATTTTTTTGTGCATGTTACGCGATATCTTCGCAGATTGTGAACCAATTTTGATGATTCTTTTTTTTAATTAAATATGGTGGTAAAAATCAAGGATGGTGAATAACTACTTTTTTAGCAATTTGAAGTGGGTTTTAACTTTTTGTTAAAAGTTATGAGTGCATTTCTGTGGGTATTTCGTTCACGCAAAACAGTAGCCTCTTGGAATATACAAAAGCAAGTTACGTATATATAATGTTTTCTTATATTTACGCGAACACTACACATTGAATAAAATTACTTTTCTGCCGACTTCCAAAAAGGAGACGGTACTCAATTCGAGGCGTATGTTTTTTTTTTTAATGTGTGTTACCTCATAACTTTTTACTAGATGGACCGATTTCGATGATTCTTTTTTTATATGAAAGCTGATACTTCTCGTGTGGTCCCATATGAATTTGATCAAGGTCAGACCAATAGTTTTTGAGTTATTTGAGTTATTCTTAATAACTTATATTGAAGTCGGCTGTACAAGATTTTTAATTTTAAATTATACGGATTCTATCGCGTTTAATTAACTTATTTTTATTAATTCACGTCGTACGTCGAACGTAACGTCGGGAATTAATAAAAAAAAATAGTTAATTAAACGTGATAGAATCCGTAAAAGTAGTTTTATTCACAGTTACGTATACTCTAATATTAGCCTAAACTAAAATTCTTGAAGCAAAAGTACCTATGTTGTTTATTGAACTTTATCTTTCGATTTGATAAACCTTTAATTTATCGAATTGCACAGATAAAAATAATATACTTGACGAAATAAGACCTAACAAATTAAGATAAAACAATTTTAGCCATTAGGCCCAAAAAACTGTACATATTTTTTTATAGTATGAGGTTGACAAACGAGCACACAGTCCACTTGATGGTAAGTGGTTGCTGTGGCCCATAGACATCTACATCTATCCTCGATTGAAAATCAATATGCAGACGCATTGTCACCCCTGATGACTAAAGTGTAATGCCTAGTATCCAGTAAAAATGGGCCTCCAGTTCTCTACACTTACCATACGAAACACAGCAACTTTAAGTTGCTATTTTACGCTGGTATTCTGTGAGAGCGTGATCCTACCCCGGTCGAGCCGACCCATTCGTGCTACAATCATAACATAGCTGCAGCGTGGCTCTACCACGTTAATTATATAATAATAAATGTGATAAATTTTACTTACACTGTAATACATTTTATTACAGTATAAATTTATTTATAAATAAGTAACTAATGAGAATAGTATTGCAACAAAATAAAATGAAGGAGATTTATAAGATAGGAGCATAATTAATATAATGATGTTGAACAAACATGGATTGACAAAGTTTCACGAGATTTCATTATGAATATATAAATATAATTGTGTTGAAAATGGCCACACACAGAAATGCTTACATTGCTAACATGCCTACGCGATATGGACAAGGAAAAAGTGAGACGCAGAATCAAATACGAGAAAAGGACGGAGATACTCCCTAATGGATGCCATACACGATCCAGTTTACCGTTGAGTTTGCAAAGCGCTTGAAGAGACGTCAAGTTTGTATGATGCCGCATCAGTTGAAACCATGGCGTCTCTCGCTTATTTGGTCCGACTTCCGTCATGCATACTTAACCGCTCATACACACTCATGCACACCGATAGCCATACACCGTCAAGTTTACCGGACGCCGCTTCAAGCGCGCTGCAAACTTGACCGTAAACTGGATCGTGTATGGCATCCATAACAAATATGTCGCTTATTAACTCTTTTAGCCGGAATACACACAGTAACTATAGCCGTTAGCTAGAATAGCACTTAGCCTTGATATCACTGACTAGGCATAGCACACAACAACAAAGGGCACCCAAATGTATGGTGTTATTGTTATGCCACTGGTCTCCAATTCTCATGCAGGTCACTAACATAAAATGCATAATTTATATCGACTACCTTGTTGGTCTGGTGGTTGTAGTAGTGCAACTCCCGATCGATGAGGGCTCGGGTTCGAATCCCTGGACGGGCCAAAAAATCAGTAATAGAGTTTTTCCATCAAGAAATTCTCAGTAGCTGCCCAGAGTCAGGAAGTTAGCGGTGTCTCACCCCCGTGCCTCGTAAAGCACGTAAAGAGAAAAAGATCCGTTGGTCCTGCGCCTGATCTCTCTCCGGCCGCGTTGGTTTTAGGCTTGGGCAAAAAATATCGATATATTGATATTTTTTAATAAATATATTGATATATATCGTCGATATTATGAATCGCAATATAGCGATATTTATTTAAGAGTATCGAATTCGTATCAATTTCCGATATATTTTAAAATGTTGTATTAATGACAAAACTTGTAACAACAAAAAGAGGTACAAAAGTATTCATGTGTGGTTGGTTGTCGTTTTTTTTCGTCGTCCAACCGTAATTAATATAAAATTTTGCACCTTATCTTTACATCATGCAAATGATAACGATATATATTTTTTGCGCTTACACATCCCTAGTTGGTTTACCTTCCCATCGGACTATGAGAGTGCACCTGTGCTTGCGCATACACTTGGGCACTATAATCCTGTACTGCGCCGATGGCTAGTCTCCGTTGAGATTGGCCGCCGTGACCGAAATTCGGTCTGGAAGACATTATGTATAATATAAAATATTGGTATCACGCAAATGTGTATACACATAAGTTTCTTTTTTTATTAGAAATGGACTTACTCTTGCCCTCCATCTGGCCCTAGGGCAAAGATGAGGTCTGCGATGGGGCGAGTTTGACCAGGAGAAGCCTGTTCACACTCACCTCTAAGAGGTTCAGGTTATACGCAGGCCAGGGCATTCAACTCCTTTTCTGTGTGCATTATAAAAGTTTTTTTTTATCGTCTGCAAGGCTCTTTTAACCATTGCACTTTGGAGTTTTGGCGGGAACTTGACCGGCGGCGGTTTGCTGCACCTGTATTATTGTTTAAATAATGGTTTGAAGTGGACTTTGATATGTAAAAGTGGTGCGATTTTGTGTATTAAGTGTCAGCGCATGAAACTATTAGCGGAAACTGTGAAACAAGTGCTCTGATGGTGATGTGATTCTCAAAATAAGGTGTCTGTCTGCTTAGGCGCCTTGAGACACCATCGCCAACCGTCAGCTGTCTGCTGGCTCAAGTTGCCATCAAAATCTCCCAAGAGCTGCACATTGTGACGCATCGACATATTGTGAAGCAGTATACTATGAAGGATAATTATTATAATAATATATTGTAACGTAAGGTTCAGAAGGGCTAGATCCCAGAGCCGTAAAGCCAGTTATTAAGAAGAACATTGCACTTTGATTTAAATTCATCCGTTCGTTACAGACTATTACAGTCCGTCGCGGAACATAGGCCTCCCCATTGATTGCGTCATAAGCGAGACTTTGCCAAGTTTTTATCAGGAAGGCGCTGCTGCCTATCTCTTGTTTCACTTTCCCTCTGTCGCCTCTTACGACTCCCAGGGCATAATATGGGTTTATGGGATATTCTTACACCGCCACTACACGGTAAGTGCTTTTCACTTTCCCTCTGTCGCCTCTTACGACACCCACGGCATGATATGGGTTTATGGTATATTCTTACACAGCCACTATACGGTAAGTGTTATATTTAATAAAATATATATATATATATATATATATATATATATATATATATATATATATATAAAGCATTTTCTTTAGTTCTAATATCGAGTACGCGATAACCTAAGTACACAATGCGAGTTACACAGCAGACTGAGATATGGTTCTATTATTAATGTTTATTTAATTATCGTCAGCTAACACGGGACTGGATTATCAGGTAATTTTAAAAATAATGTATCCCCTTATAAATACGATAGTTCGTACTATGAGTGTTGCTAGTATAAAATATAAATTTATGTAACTTATTTTGTAATTTTTGAAACGAAGTTCCTTATCGGACGGTACGAATTTGGCGGATGGGGTCTAGGCGAGAAAAAGTGTAAGATTTTTCCGTCAAGACCTCTTCAGACTTAACGTTCCTCGTAGACGGCTTTGGCGGCTATAAGGAAGCGAGATGGAATAATAACCATCTCTCTCGCACTTTTTCTTATCTTGCCATGAAAGTAATATTATTTTATTTTAAATGACGCTTAATTTTAATAGACGCTGGTAATTCCTTTTTGTTTTGTATTTGTTAATTAATAATGTAATACGTTTATCAATTATAATGTAATATGTGCTACGAAAGGAACTTCGTTCCAACCGAGTGTTAATTAATTCGTCAAACAATGAAGGCGTCTGCCTTTGCGTTTTTTTTTTTTAATTACTGTTATTTGTGTCAAACCCCATTTTTTCTATACACGCCCAAGAAACCAATTATATCGTAACTCATTTGATTGACCTACACACACGTATCATGCAGCAACGAAACGACCTATGCAGAGGCGTGTAGTCTGGAGCGGAATGGCTACTCGCAGCGAGTACCCTGTCACACACAGCGAATTCTCGCAGCGAGTGCTCATTCGCAGAGAGTAAAATTGAGCATGTTCAATTCAATTCGCAGCGAATTCAACTCGCGGCGAATGAATTTGATCGCAGCGAATAGCCTGTCACACATAAACAAATGCAGTCGAATTGAGAACCTCCTCCTTTTTTTCAAAGTTGGTTGAAAAACAAACAGTTTACAATCATTTAAGTTACACAATTAACAACACAACACATTAGAAATATCTTGGTAGCGATAACCTCATTCCCAGGGGCTTATCATTTATAAATTCAATTCAATATGAAGTGCTCATTTAGGAAGTTGAATAATACTAGAGAAATAAATGATCGAGCGACTCACTTGGTGAATGTGGCGTACATGATGTCCACGGGCACCCGGTAGGGCAGCGTCAACATCGACACGTAGCGCATCCCGCGCTGCCGCATGAGCCAGCTCACGAGCCCGCTGTTTGCTGATTCGATCGCGTTTTGGAAGATCGTCATCACCGTGTCCGGTAAGTCGTCGACAAGCGCGTCCTGATACAAGTAAAATACATCAGCATAACCATCATCTTGCCAACAGTACGGGAATATTCTTTCTACATTTATCCTCGATTAAGACTTAAAGTGCAGATGCGTTGTCACCCCTAAAAACTTAGATGGAATGCCTCATTTCCAGTAAAAAAGGTCTACTGTTCTCTACACTGACCATACGAAACACAGCAGCATTAAGCTGCTATTTTACGCTAATATTATGTGAGAGCGTGGTTCTATCCCGGTTGAGCAGACCCATTCGTGCTGCTCATAATGGCCCTCTCCTGTTGTGGGGAAGATTAATTAATGAAAACTAAAATCTTACGCTCCAGATGTCGCTAGCTGGTACTAAGGTGAACGTATTTGTTACGCAGATGCTGACCGTGCGACCAGTGTCATCGTCATTAATTAAATGTTTTTCGGTTTCTAATACATTTATATACACAAAACAACCTCAGTGCCGTATTCTTTAATTTCTTACTTATATTTAACTTTTTTATCATCTACTTTTACGAATACCCGCGATTTGGTTTATCCATTTACAATCTAATTAATATAAAATGTAACTAATATTTCAGAAGGAAACATTCTCTACAGTTTTATTAACAAAATAATTTCCCCCGCTTTGAAATCTGTCAAACGTTTCACCTTATTATTATATACAAGGGGCGCCGCCTTGGTGGCATAAAAAGTAGTGGATTTTGTCGTGGATTGGCTGGCGCATTACCGATTGCAATACAAGACGTCTCGTACTTTTGTCGCTCCTCCCGTCACCAGTTTGGATATAAGCCTGATAATTATTATGTTTGACTGACGATTATAATTGACCGCGTAGTGGCGGTGTAGAAGGCGACAGATGGAAACAAACGTAAACGCAATGTCCACATTCGAAATACTACAATCACAGAATAGAAGTAGGCAACAGAGCTATACGATCGTCTAATGTTTTTTTATAACTGTTGTAGTGTTATGCTACTTACATATCATTTTACATTATTTTAAATTCATTTTTCCATTCTGTTTCGATTTTCTGCATTCACCTCAAAACTGGATATTTTACATCACCTTTATTTCCATAGGATCCTGTAACGATTTTAAACCATAAGAACACAATAACAAATCATTTCTACACTTCAGCACTTTCACTACATCAGCACTTTTAAATTGGTGTCAATGGAGTCTACCTTTTTTCGATCTTTTAGCTAGTTTTCCGTAACTCTACAATCTCGGGCTTTGTGTGGGCAGCTGCGCTACCTTTTTTCCTATATCAATAATATCTCATTTTCCACTTAAATCTTACCGTTTTCTTATTATAAACCTAAAACCAAAATTTGACATGTTTTGACATTGCTATTTATTTCGTTTCCATAGTAATTATATTCAAATTTGCTACCGATCTGTTGTTCCTATTTCGATAATTCCACATAAATACTCTTTTCTCTTGACCATTTACAAAAAATTTGCGTTTAATTTAAATAATTTTTCCGTTCTCTCTAGAAAGGTATAAAAGCCGAACAATCGGTGAAGAAAAGCAGTCTCGCTTTAGTTCTCGAATTGGAAGCATCTCCTAAAGGCCTTATCCCGGGGCCGCACTGCCCCGGGATCCTGCAAGCCTCCACCTACACGTGAAGTCTTCGGCGAAGCCTTCTTCAAGCGCGGAGCCGCACCACTCCGGAATCCTACAAGCCTCCATCTACCTCGGAAGTCGTCGGCAGTCTACTTCAAGCGCGGGGGCCACACTACTCCGGGCGCTACGACTGCTGACTCCAGGCGCCGAGTGCACCTACCGCCGGCGCTACCTTTGGGCGCTGCAACTGCTGACTCTAAGCGTTGAGCGCACCTACTCCAGGCGCTACGTGCGCCGGCTCCGGACGCTGCGTGTGCTGGCTCCAGGCGCTGCGTGCCGCCGCTGCTAAGAAACCTACCTCTACAAGCGCAACCGGCGTGTGCTGGCTTCAGGCGCTGCGTGTCGTCGCTGCTAAGAAACCTACCTCTACAATCGCAACGTGTGTCGCTTCGACTTTTAGGCTCCACTACAACTCTATATTCCCCTATTCTCCTACCTTTATTTTTTTTGTAATCTAATTGTACTCTCACTTCATTCATCATCATCCTCATTTCATTTTTGTTATAAAATTGTAAATACCTTTTAAAAATTTAAATATATTGTTTTCTGGCTCTACTTTTGTTGTTTTGTTGTACTTAGGTTAGGTTCTATTTTTTTTTAATTGTCGCTTCACGACATTTGGCGCCCAACGTAAAAGTCCTCTTTCTCTCTTAATTCTTCACCTTTACTGCGCCTTGTCCATTCCCTTTTGATTTAATTGCTCTCCCTTTCGTTCTTAACTCATCATTCATCATTCATTTATTCATCCTTTTCATACCTTCCAAATTCTAAAACAACACTTCATCTAGTGTTTCAACTTATCTGGATTATATTTAGACCTACATTTCACACAACACTTACATTCATCACTTTAATATTTTTATTGTAGATAACTTTCCAAATTCTAAAACAACACTTCATGTGTTTCAACTTATCTAGACTATATTTAGACCTACATTCAACACTTCACTTACATTCATCACTCTAATATTTTTATTCTAGGTAACTTAAAGAGGTATAACTTTTCAATTAAATCTTTATTTCTTAAACTTAACTTTGAACTTTACACTTTATATAAAATTGTTTTTCAAAGCTGAAGCGAGACGATTCATAACTTTTCTAAGCATTTACTAACTGTTAATTTGTATATATGTATAAATATCTAAACATTTATTAACTGTTAATTTGTATATATGTATAAATATCACCACCATTCTCACCTTATTATTTTTATTTCTTTTAATTTGTTTGTTTTTTTGATGATCCAGTGTTCTTCAACACATCTTGCTTTAGGACCTCGAAGTTTCGTTGTCGAATCTTCACTTTTTATTTCAGACACATCTCGCTAGTGATGTTGCTGATCTCTGGCTTTGAGCCCTACCGCTCTGGCCGTTCTTAATCTTTACTTAAGTCATAGCGACTAAAGCTTGCTTAAGATTGATTCCTTTATCTTTATCTTCACTTGGGAGCGGTTGACTACTCCCTTAATAATTTTTTTTTATCTTCACGCAGGAGCGGATGGCAACTCCTTAAATAAGCCTGCATGTCCTTTCGAAAACACACTTTTAAGAGTGGTGTTTCTTCGACTAATTTTTTTTTTCCACGCAGGAGCGGATGACTACTCCTTAAATAAGCCTTAATGTCGTTTTGAAAACACACTTTTAGAGTGGTAGTCATTGAATGTGAACTCCACCCTTACCTGAATGGCAGATGGTGAATGTAAGAGATGGTATATCTGATTTTGCCTGGTGATGTCTGTTTCTGCAAAGCTGTGTTTTTATGGTTTATTTTAGAATGTATATGTAGCCGGTGGAAGGAAAAGGGGAGATCTCCCGCCGGGCAAGGTGTTCTGCCCGGGGAGCGGCCAACGCTCCGAATGGTAGTTCGGAGCTATTCTATATATATTGCTTTAATTTCGGAACTTTGTTAGCGCGATTTAGGCTTCGATGCGTTTCGCTTGTGGCGCGACGACAGCGCCGCCACATCACCCCTCTGCTCAGACCGGAGGTCGATAGTGCAGTCCGATTGCCGGTGCGTCCTTAATGCCGGTGGGGAATGCATGCTGTGTGCGTAAGGGCAAGTGACGCCGGTGCGAATGATATGCCGGTGTGTAATGCATGCCGTACTACGCACTTGCAAGTGATGCCGGTGAGAACGATGAGCCGGAGCAAGTGCCAGGGATTGCCTTGTAGTCTGCGGTGAGTCGAGAAGAAGGCAAGTAATCTGCGAGAGTGCCGTGAAGCAGAGGCGAGCAGTAAGGCTCAGAGCCGTGCCGAACACTGTAGCGCAGAGAGTAGCTTGAAGGAACAGGAAGCATTATTATTCCAGTGCTGCGATGAACCTTTTGTAAAGCTAGATGGCTTGCAGAATGTGAAGACTGCAGACAATGTCTGCTCGGGAGCGAATGAATGGGGTACTTGAGGACGATGACGAAGGTTTGAAGTTGTAGTTTCCGAAGGTTATTGGTTGCGTGTTCATATCACGTCGGGGTCACCAGTGTAGCCGGTGAAAGGAAAAGGGGAGATCTCCCGCCGGGCAAGGTGTTCTGCCCGGGGAGCGGCCAACGCTCCGATTGGTAGTTCGGGGCTATTCTATATATATTGCTTTAATTTCGGAACTTTGTTAGCGCGATTTAGGCTTCGATGCGTTTCGCTTGTGGCGCGACGACAGCGCCGCCACATATATATCAAAATTTTTGCTGAGTCAAAAATTTTCCAGGGTCGGGGGGAAAATGTAGTGTTATGCTACTTACATATCATTTTACATTATTTTAAATTCATTTTTCCATTCTGTTTCGATTTTCTGCATTCACCTCAAAACTGGATATTTTACATCACCTTTATTTCCATAGGATCCTGTAACGATTTTAAACCATAAGAACACAATAACAAATCATTTCTACACTTCAGCACTTTCACTACATCAGCACTTTTAAATTGGTGTCAATGGAGTCTACCTTTTTTCGATCTTTTAGCTAGTTTTCCGTAACTCTACAATCTCGGGCTTTGTGTGGGCAGCTGCGCTACCTTTTTTCCTATATCAATAATATCTCATTTTCCACTTAAATCTTACCGTTTTCTTATTATAAACCTAAAACCAAAATTTGATATGTTTTGACATTGCTATTTATTTCGTTTCCATAGTAATTATATTCAAATTTGCTACCGATCTGTTGTTCCTATTTCGATAATTCCACATAAATACTCTTTTCTCTTGACCATTTACAAAAAATTTGCGTTTAATTTAAATACTTTTTCCGTTCTCTCTAGAAAGGTATAAAAGCCGAACAATCGGTGAAGAAAAGCAGTCTCGCTTTAGTTCTCGAATTGGAAGCATCTCCTAAAGGCCTTATCCCGGGGCCGCACTGCCCCGGGATCCTGCAAGCCTCCACCTACACGTGAAGTCTTCGGCGAAGCCTTCTTCAAGCGCGGAGCCGCACCACTCCGGAATCCTACAAGCCTCCATCTACCTCGGAAGTCGTCGGCAGTCTACTTCAAGCGCGGGGGCCACACTACTCCGGGCGCTACGACTGCTGACTCCAGGCGCCGAGTGCACCTACCGCCGGCGCTACCTTTGGGCGCTGCAACTGCTGACTCTAAGCGTTGAGCGCACCTACTCCAGGCGCTACGTGCGCCGGCTCCGGACGCTGCGTGTGCTGGCTCCAGGCGCTGCGTGCCGCCGCTGCTAAGAAACCTACCTCTACAAGCGCAACCGGCGTGTGCTGGCTTCAGGCGCTGCGTGTCGTCGCTGCTAAGAAACCTACCTCTACAATCGCAACGTGTGTCGCTTCGACTTTTAGGCTCCACTACAACTCTATATTCCCCTATTCTCCTACCTTTATTTTTTTTGTAATCTAATTGTACTCTCACTTCATTCATCATCATCCTCATTTCATTTTTTTATAAAATTGTAAATATCTTTGAATTTTAAATATATTTTTGTTTTTGTTGTATTTTTGTTGTTTTGTTGTTCTTAGGTTAGATTCTTTTCTTCTTTATTGTCGCTTCACGACACTGTATTATATACATTAATGTATTAAGGTCTTTACCTACAAAATTGCTGTCTTGTTGAACTGGCCACTTAGAATTGTAACAGAAATGATTGAACTAGAAATTCTAAATTCAAACTTTTATATATTTTTTTTAAATGTGTTACCTAAGAACTTTCTTCTATGTGAACCGATTTTGATGATTCTTTTTTTTATTTTAAATCAAATAAAAAAAGTAATTTTTGAGTTATCTTTAATAATTGCATATTTAATTGACATCGACTACATTGATGGTGTTCTAATTTTATTTATATTTAAGTCGGCTGTACAAAATTTTTAATTTTACCACTTGTTTCATAGTTTAGATAACTTTTCGTATTTGGAAAAAAATTTCAACACCGAAGAAGGAAGTAAAGAACGCCTTTAGAGTTCATCATAGTATAGATTCTCGTGCAGCAGATTTCTATAGGAAGGATATCAACAACTGCCCAACAAATGACAATAATGTCTAAATAGTTCAGGCATATATTTTTATATAATTTTTTTTTCGTTAAAACTGCAATTTCATAGGTAAAGCGTAAAGACTCAATGTATAAAGTTATTGTAATTTATAGTATATTTACCTGTCTGTGCGTTTTGCACTCCTCACATTCAGGATCGTATTCATACATGTTGCCATCCAGAACATCTTGCAGCTGGAAGGTGGTTTGGACGGCCAGGCATCTTGTGCAGGAGATCAAATTATTTCTATGCAGGAACCGGAGCGCGTCGTCGAAGCCCTGCTTGCACATATTGCTGAGCACCTCGGGCTTCGGCGGGAAGAGGATGCGCGCGAAGCGGTTCATGTTTTGCTTCGACAGTTCTATGCTTGTGTTTGCCAGGTTCACCTGTTATAAGTATTTATATTGTTATGGTCGTTCAATAGATAATTGTGTATTTATACATACATATAATCAAAATTGGAGGGTCTGTACTATTTGCATGTCATTAAGACATGAATAAATATTTTTTGTCTGTCTGTCTCTTTGGGCTGATTTTCGGAATGGTTGTGCTGATTGCAATGAATCTTCACGAACGAGAGATATACGCTAGAAACACTTGGACTTTTAAAAAAAGAACGAAAAAACTATAAAATAAATGTTTTTTTATTAGGGAAGGGGGGAGGGGGCTATGGGTCTGCCTTCATTACCGCTCACCACCAGGTGGAATTGTAGTAAAGCATTAGCTTATGATTGTTAAAAAAATTATCAAACTAGGTGTTCCATTTTTATGTTACATATTTTAATAGGCTTATCGAAATTCGATTTGATATATTTGATTTTGAGATTTTTTATACTCTTTGAGCCAAGAAATCAACTTATCATTAGGTTAACATTTACAGAATAACTTATTTTATTGTCCTGTATTATATCATACTAGCTGTTCATCGCGACTTCGCCCGCGTGTAATTTAGGGTTTTAATTATGTTACGCGGAACCGTAATTCTTTTTCTAAAATGTAAGTAGCCTAAGTTACTCCTTATAACATCAGCTATCTGCCAGTGAAGTCCCGTCAAAATTGGTCCAGCCGTTTCGGAGATTAGCCGGAACAAACAGACAGACAAACAAAAATTTTAAAGATTGTGTATTTATTATAAGTACCGTACATACTTTCATATGCATTTAGTAAAAAGCTGGTATTTTGACATTACAAACAGACACTTCAATTTTATTTATTTGTATAGATGTATAGATATCACAAGTACACAAACATACATCTCTTATTTTATTTATCAGCCTACATACGTCCCTCATGACTGGGCATAGGTTTTCCTCTGGACTGGACTGAGGGTTTTTCTAATGCACCGTACACATGTCCTTGAAATATGTTTTTTTTTATTCTCAGACATGCAGATATCCTCGCAACGTTTTCCTTTACCCAGTTTCCCCAGTACCAGTAACATTTATCACGTGAAGAACTTTATCTATCCTCGATGAAGAATCAAAATCAGATTTACAAAGTGATATTCATTCTATAAATACTAGGAATAGACACAAGCTAGTAGTACCAGTTACTCGACTCCACCGAGTCAGTAACACATTCTTGGGGCGATGTTAGACGCTTTTACAACAAAATCTAAGAAAATATACAAAATTTGACCTGCTCAAGGTTCAAAAACTTTATTAAACTAAGTTTGTATAAAAAGGAATTTATCAGGCTACCAAGCTATTTAAAATTTATTTTGTTTGATGTTTTTTTAAAGTCCCGCTGTGTTTCTTGCTGGTTCTAAAATAGAATAGAATAATTTTTATTCAATATTAATTTCAAGTAATTCTTATTGAAAGTTATTTTTTTACAATACCAGTGGTTCGAAAAAATTCTGTCTTGGGAAGAACCAACAAGAAACCCAGCGGGGCTTTTTAAAAAAAAATTACAATATAAATGATTACAAACTATTTACAAACTCTATTTTAGAAACAGTTTGGAAGCGACCACCCCATTCCCCGGGGGTTACGAGGGCTGCACTAAAAGTATCGGGAATAGAATATTTCCACTGTTCCTGTCATATTAAAATCTTTTTAATTGGAAAGTCCTTGGTTTTAAAAATCGCATACCATTTATTGTAGATAATGAAATGATATTTAGAGCCCAAAAGAGATGTGTAAGAGCCATTGTGAAGTTAAAACAGACGGATAGTTGTAAACCATTTTTTATTAGTCTGAAACTGTTAACACTTCCGTGCCTTTATATATATGAGATAGCCGTTTTTGTTATTACGCATATTTCTTTATTTGAGTGCCTACACAGTAAACGTAATAATCAAAAAATATGTTTTCCATCAAACAACACAGCCCAATTTAACAACAGTGTATTTTGTATGGGCCCTAGAATTTATAACCATTTACCATTACACATTTTGAGATGCTCCAATATAGATAAGTTTAAAATACTATTGAAGCAATTTCTTCTTAATAAGGCATACTACAGTGTGAAAGAATATCTCGAAGACAAATATGAAATTCAATAATTGACTGTTACATGACTGAGAATAACTAAATTGACTTGACTTATACAATATTATCTAAATTGACTTATCGCTATTATTTTTGATTTTGTATCATGTGTATTCCAATTTTAACTAGAGTATGTTTAAGTAATTAAATATAAAAGTAATAAAATGTGATGGACATTGCATGCCAAATGGCGGAATATAGCTGTACTGAATGTTTGTTCTATAAGTGATAAAATACGTAAACACCAACTGTATCAACCTATATTCGCAATAAACGATTTGAATTAGAAAAAAAAAATTATTTAAAAAAAGATTTTCGGTCTTGCCACAAGGTTTTATCAAACTTGTTTAGTCGTTGAGAAAATGGAATTGACTCGAGAAAATTCAAGAGCGATGATTTATTATGACTTTCGATGTGGTTTAACACAAAAACAGTATGTTGACCGGATGATTTCTGCATTTGGTGATGAAGCCCCATCAAAAACCACAATTTATTGCTGGTTTGCTGAATTTCAACGTGGACGTGTCAAGCTCAGTGATGATCCCCGTCAACGTCGTCCAAAAACTGCAGTCACCCAAGAAAACGTTGATGCTGTACGTAAGCTGATTGAGGAAGATCGACATGTGACATACCGCGAAATTCAGGCAACTTTAGACATTGGCATGAGTCAAATACAAATAATCTTGCATGAACAATTAGGTGTAAAAAAGGTGTTTTCCCGATGGATACCGCATTCGCTCTGTGAAGAGCAAAAAGCGGCTTGCGTTACTTGGTGCGTCAGAACTCTCGAAAGATTCCACGCAGGATCCTCAAATGCTGTATACAACATCGTATCAGGTGACGAATCCTGGATATACGCGTACGAACCCGAAACAAAAAAACCAGTCACGAGTTTGGGTGTTCGAAAATGAGTTAAAGCCAACAAAAATTGTTCGTTCACGGAGTGTTGCAAAAAAAAAATGGTGGCCACGTTTGTCTCCAAAACCGGCCATGTTACGACTATTCCTCTTGAGGGACAAAGAACGTTTAATGCAGAATGGTATGTTTCTGAACTCCGTAAAGAGAATTACAGCCGCCGCATCATCCTCCATCACGACAATGCGAGTTCTCACACCGCACACAGAACAAAAGAGTTTTTAGAGCAAGAAAACATAGAATTCTTAGACCATCCGCCGTACAGCCCCGACCTAAGCCCTAATAATTTCTATACTTTCCCTAAAATAAAGAATAAATTGCGTGGACAGAGATTTTCACATGTCGATCTTCATCACATGAAAAAGCTGTGGACGCCTACAAAACGGCCATTTTGGAGACCCCAGCTTCCGAATGGAATGGTTGCTTCAATGATTGGTTCCATCGTATGGAAAAATGTGTCAAATTTCGCGAAGAATACTTCGAAAAGCAATAAATACATTTTTAAATAGTAATGTTGTGTCACTTCCTTGATTCCCGAAATTTTCAGTGCCGCCCTCGTATTATCAACCATGTATTCATTTATATTATAATAACAATTATTATACAGTTTTTGTTTAATTAAATATTGTGTAGTTGTATAAATATTGTTGTACCTTGTATAGTTCTTCCCAGGACAGAGGTTTTTTTTCCGAACCAGTGGTAATTAAACAAAAGAATGACTTTCTGAGAACTAAGATGGTAAGAAGTTAATGATAAAACCAAGTTATTTTTGTGTATATTAAGTTTTAGAACGTGATCAGAAAAAGTAAACATAATTAAAACTCGGTAAATACTCATAAAATTAATCCCAGAGTGTTTATATTTATTTAAATTTTGCAAGAATAAAGCATGTTGAAATAATTGTAACTCACATGGAACAGCTGCGAACTGAGGTCCCTGGGACAGATGTCGCTCTCGCCGCAGAACGGACTGACAGTGACCGTGTTCTCGTCGAGGACGGGCAAGTTGTCGCTGAAGCCGCCGTCCATGTAGCGAATGCCATGGAATCGCGGCGGCAACATCCCAGAGAACACTGGGACGAAGCATGACGCAAGTAACGCCTGAAGGAGTAACACACAGACTTGCAGAGGTGATAAAAGACAATGCCATTTGTATTGCAACATTATCAAGTTGTTTACTGATCAACGTGGTAGAGCCACGATGCAGCTACATTGTGGTAGCAACTTGCTGCTGTGTTTCGTATGGTGAGTGTAGAAAACTGGAGACCGTTTTTACTTGAAACAAGGCATTCCATCTCAGTCCTCAGAGATGACAACGCATCTGCATTTTGATTCTTAATTAAGAATAAATGTAGATGTCTATGGGCCACAGCATCCACTTACCATCAGGTAGACTGTGTGCTCGTTTGTCACCCTTATTTTATAAAAAAAAAACACACAAACACCTTACTTCTAATCGCTGATCCCGGGTTTGGATTCTAATCAAAGTCAATATTAAGCAATACACAACTGCAATACATTATGATTATCCTTTTGCATCTGACACATAATTTGAAGCCTCCGTGGTGCAGTAGTTTAGCATTTAGTCGCGGCGCACAGAACAAGTATGTGTATGGCATGCAAATAATGGTTCCAGGTCTAGAATACTCTAAGACTTGTTCCGTATCCGTGCGGGAAAACGAACCGGCGTCCTTAGTTACTGCATTACCATGCCATCACTACAGTAGGTAACAAAATAATAAATATTTAAAAAAATATATGATTAAAATTAACTCCTACCTGCAAGAGATCCTCTCTTGTCGGATATTCTGAGACAATGACATTCTTGCCATCGTACACTCTGGTAAGTGAGATGTGGAGTCTACCACTGACAATCTTGTGTACATCGGGTGGCAGGTGCTTTTGCATACTCGCCAAGAGCACATTCTGTATGTTGAATGACGGGCTGAATGGTCCCAGGGACCCGGCCCTTGCTTCACCTACTATCCTCAGGACATCACTGGTGATTTCACCTACACAATGAATCACAAAGTAAATAAATAAGAAATTTCAAGGGAATGTTAGGAAAGAGCACACGTACTGGAGCAGTACGGCGGCCTTATCGCTTTATCACACTCGCAGAAAGGTGAAGAGGCCTGTGCCTAGCTGAGCAAGTGCACAAAAGCACAGGTATGATGGTATATTATAGATGGCCCTATTTTTTTTATAGAATAAGGCTGACAAACATGCACACAGTCTATGTAAGCGTAAGTACATACTGTAGCCCACTAATGCATTGGGGCAGCGCAGTGGACATTTAACTTTTTTTATATGATAAGGGTGACAAATGAGCACACAGTCCATCTGATGGTAAGTGGTTGCTGTGGCTCATAGACATCTACATACATCTATCCTCGATTACGAATCAAGATGCAGATTTACATGCAAGTCACCCATGAGAACTAAAATGGAATGCCTCGTTTCTAGTAAAAAGGGTCTCCGGTTCTCTACACTCACCATACGAAATACAGCAGCGTTAAGCTGCTAGTTTACGCTGGTATTGTGTGAGAGCGTGGTCCTTCCCCGGTCGAGCCGACCCATTCGTGCTACAACTATACCAGTAATATAGCTGCAGCATGGCTCTGCCAAGTAAAAAACCTTATACGCTCTCAAAAATGGAAGGAGTATGTTTTATATTTTTTCAGAAGTCTTCTGTAAACTTCTGTACGTTGTGTATAGTTTCCATCAAATATCTTTTAGACTTTGGTTTGTTGTTTCTCTCGTTTCATTTTGTTTTTACTGCGTAGTTTCAAAATCCAACATGTTTATGAACATCATCATAGAGCAACGAGGCCACTGGCGGACGGGAGGGGAGTAGCTTTAGCGTTTTTCCCCTATACAGAACTCTGTTGCGGGGGAAAATTTGCGCACACAAAAACAATCGTCTGACACTACGAAACTTACACAACAATTAAAACAAGTATCGCTCGATGGCGACGACAACTAGGATACAGAGTAGAATCAGTCGCTCGACCGATATGCATATTATATGATGGCGAGCAGCCTGTGTTGGTTAACAAATCCGAAACAACACAACCGTTATTGTTGCGATAAATATAATGTGATTAAAAGATACTTATATTTGAAAGGTAACACAGTCTTTTTTAAATTTAACGGGACAGATCTCTTTTTGCAGCACTCAACTGAACGATTCAGCATTTTTGTAGGACGTCGATTCAACCGCGCAACTAGATTTAGTCTAGTGAGCAGTGCGGCTGCAACTAGTTTTATTGTACACGTATTATACACCGGCTGACCGGCGTGGTCTCCCAGCCGGCCAGTCGGTGGCCAGTGTTGCTCTATGGTTCTAGGTATGCGATGAGGTGGGTTTTCAATATATCTAGTTAAAATTGACCGATACTTGGCGGTGTCATCACGGTTGCCTATTTTAGGCACGTCGATTCAACCGCGCAACTAGATTAAGTCTAGTGAGCAGTGCGGCTGCAACTGGTTTTATCGCACGCATAGGGCCACATGGACTTATCACTATGACAAAGGGGAATGTTTGCTACTCCCTTCGGCACCGCCGGTAGCCCGTGGTGCAAGACCTATGTTCACTGCTGAACATAGGTCTTCTTCAAGGAATACCACAAAGTACGGGTCTTAGGCACCTGCAACCATCGACTTCTTGCATCTCTTACCAGGTTGTCAGTCTATCTAGTGGAGGGCCAACCTACACTTTATCAAGTCAATGAACAAGCATTTTGTACTTTATTACTGACTGAAAATACAACTGCTGCTTTAAACCTCTGTCTATTCAAATCTTTAAGGTCGAAACAATATGACCATATACATACTTATTTATATTCAGATTTAGTGAGAGCATATTATAACTCCCTCATTGTAATATAGAACAGTATTTCAACAATTTTTAATCAAGATAATTTATTTCCTAGGTTAGAGGCAATGGCAATGTCCTCTAGAAATAATATCTTCTACGTTATTTTAATCAAGTTTAGGAGTTATTATCAAATTGTCCGCAAATATTATCAGTTGCCACCCAAAAATATACTTATATATAATATACGTAAAGGCACAAGTAATATGGTTCATTGAAAATATATATGTACAACAAGATTTAAGCTAAAGTCTATTAACAGATACTATTCTTTATTTTGCCGTGTAGTGGCGGGTAAAAATATCTTCCCGTGGGTGTCGTAAAAGGCGACAGTGAGAAACAGGCAGGAGATAGGCAGCAGCATCTTCCCGATAACAGCAATATTACAATAAAAAACTGCGGTTGTCAACCCGTTCGCCAAGCGTGGCAACTATGGCAAATATCCCCTCTTGATGAAAGTTACGAAGAGACGGCCCCCAGTTCCCGGCGGCCCCGCTATTCCTGGCTATGGTGGCGACCATGGTAACGGCGGGGCAGGAGATGCTAAGAATCTCCGATGGAGGTTTGGTTGCCACCTAAGACGACTCGACCTGGCAACATACAACGCATGCACCCTGAGGACTGACGAGAAGATCGTGGAGCTGGAAGAAAAGATAGACAAGTTACGCTGGCATATTATAGGATTATCCGAGGTCCGAAGAGAGGGGAGGACACGGTAATCCTCGAATCCGGCAACTTGCTCTATCACCGGGAGGGCGACCATCTGTCCCAAGGAGGTGTCTGATTTATCGTCCACAAGTCTCTCGTTAACAACGTTGTAAATATTGTGAGTGTGTCGACGAGGGTTGCGGACCTTATACTCAGAATCACCAAACGGTATTCGTTGAAGGTCATACAGGTTAACGTACCAACCTCGGCACATCCCGATGAGGAGGTGGAGGAAATGTATGCGGATATAATTATCTAGAGCCATGTATTCCCCCAAAACCCACTATACGGTGTTTATAGGAGACTTTAATGCAAAACTAGGCACAAGAGAGAACGGTGAGCTGAAGGTAAAGAAATTTGGAATAGGACAACGGAACTCAATGGGCCAGCAGCTGGCCGACTTCATGGAGAAAGAGGGACTCTTTATGATGAACTCTTTCTTACAGAAGCAGCCCCACAGGAAGTGGACCTGGTTGAGCCCCGACGGTTCGACAAAAAATGAGATTGACTTCATTATGACGACCAGACGATAACTGTACAGCTTGTATTGAAGAAGCGATCGAGCGTAACCAAGGCGCCAAAGCCTTTGCCAGAGATCTGTCTGCCAGAAAGAGCCAACTGTCAAAGCTGAAGACCGAGTGTGGCAGCATCGTTTCCGGGACACCTGAGATTTTGAGTAAGATTGAGAGGTTCTATGGGCAGCTGTACACGTCATCGTTTTGGCCACACGCAAGTGTGAGTAACGATCCTAGAGCGAGTCTTATCCGACACTATTCCGAATATCCCGGACGTCAGTCTGAGCGAAATTAGAATGGCTCTCCAGCACCTTAAAAACGGCAAGGCCCCAGGTAAGGAAGGAATTACAGCGGAACTTCTGAAAGCGGGTGGAAAACCGGTACTTGAAGTCCTTCAGAAGCTTTTTAATTCCGTCCTACATGGTGGCACTACTCCGGAGGCGTGGAGCAGAAGTGCGGTGGTCTTGTAGAACTACAGACCGACTTCCCTTCTGTGCCGCGTCTACGTGCTGTTTTCGAGTTATTACGAATCGTCTCGCACGAAGACTCGACGACTCCCAGCCTCCCGACCAAGCCGGTTTCCGAAAACGCTTTAGTACCATAGACCACATAAACACCCTTCGGCAAATTGTACAGAAGACAGAAGAGTACAATCTGCCACTTTGCCTTTCGTATGTGGACTATGAGAGACCTTTGATTCCGGCGAAATTCGGGCGGTGCTGCAGTCCCTTCAGCGGTGCCAAGTAGACTGTCGGTATATCGAAGTGCTGAAGTGTTTGTACAGTAGGGCTACGATGGCTATCCGAGTACAGAATCAGAGTACGAAACCTATCCAACTGCAGAGAGGTGTAAGACAGGATGACGTTATATCCCCGAAACTCTTCACCGCTTACCGCTGCAAGACTGGAAGAAGATTGGAAGACGTTTTCAAGCTACTGGACTGGAAAGGATACGGTATTAACATCGATGGCGAGTACATCACTCACCTTCGATTTGCCGACGATATAGTCCTTATGGCAGAATCCTTGGCGGACCTAAGCACTATGCTCAATGACCTCAATAGTGTCTCCCAACGCATAGGTTTTAAGATGAACATGGACAAAACAAAGATCATGTTTAATGTCCATGTCACACCTATGCCGGTAGTTGTTGGGCGCACTAAGCTCGAAGTTGCTGACGAGTATGTTTACCTTGGGATAAATAGTCCGACTAGGTAAGTCCAACTTCGACCGAGACGTCAATCGACGGATTCAACTCTGCTGGACAGCGTTCGGGAAACGAGGACAAACCTTCTTGTCAGGTATTCCTCAAAACCTGAAAAAAAGATTGTACAACCAGTGCGTGTTGCCAGTGATGACTTATGGATCTGAGACGTGGCCGTACGAGGATGCTCAAGATCGCTCTGTGAGCTATGGAGAGGGCTATGCTCGGAGTTTCTCTGCGTGATAAACTTAGAAATGAGGATATCCGCAGTAGAACCAAAGTAACCGACATAGACCAACGGATTAGTTAGCTGAAGTGGCAATGGGCCGGCCATATAGTTCGAAGAACCGACAACCGATGGGGAAGAAAGGTTCTCGAATGGCAGCCTCTTACCGGTAGGCGAAGTTTAGGGCGACCCCCCACTAGATGGAGTGACGACCTGGTAAGACATGCAGGAAGTCGATGGATGCAGGTGGCTCAGGACCGTACTTTGTGGCATTCCTTGCGGGAGGCCTATGTTCAGCAGTGGACTTATGAAGGGCTGTAATGATGATGATGATGATTCTTTATTAAGTGTTTTTGCACAAATGCTTCCAGCTGTGAAAATAAATATGACAATCACATTTAATTTATTTTAATGATAATAATTTATTTAAGTTTACTGAAATGAGTCATACAAACAACTGACAAGCAACAATCAATAATTAAC